AATTGGATAGATGATGAAAGTTCTGGTTGTAACTTCTTTTAACGAATGCTGTTAATTTCTGTATCTTTATTACCTTTTCAGTTTTGCTTGATTGTTGTGGATCTCTAGCTCTTGTGCGTCCAACAGAGGGAACTCCCTCCAAACATTCTATTCTAGGTCCCCTTGGGCTTAAAGGGCAGTGGCAGCCACCTAGACGTGATAAAGGGGTATGCTAGTACTTTTACTTTCCTGCTACACAGAGATCATCCTGACTTCCTCTCTTCTTTAATGTAAATCAGGCATCCAATTGACATAGACCTGTCTCTAGTAAAAATACCAAGGTTGTTATCTCTCTGTTTTTTTTTTGGAGCTTTTATGAAGGCACTTTTTATTATTGGCCTTAATTACCTTACAAGAGGCGATGTTGTTAGTGTTTGCCTCAATCTAATAGGTGGAACTTCTTTGAAGATGAAAATTGCTCCCGAAAGGGAAAAAATATTTGAAATTTAATACGCAGGAAGGATCTTTATATGTAAAAGTTTAGTCTCTTGAAACTTTGTGGCATATGTTGTATCTGTATCAAAAGAGTAACTGTGGATTTGCATAAGTACAGGACCCATGGCATTGTTCGCTTGATAACGCAACCCCCGGTGGCATGTCGATCACACAAGACAGTGTCAGCCACGTGGCTTTCATTCCCATAATCCACCTTTAGATGGTGGGCCCATTTACAAAAATTTTACAGATGTTTAGCGCCATCCCGTATTTCTCTGTACTTCATACTGTCCGATATTTAGTTATTTCTTCTGAATGACTAGCGCAAGGTGTTTCCTATTGATTCATTGTAGGATAAATTTTTATTATTTTGGGACTTTGTTAGATAATGCCATAATCAATTCAGGCTTTCAAATATTTTTATAATTAATTTAGTATTAGCACTTCAAAATTTTTATGAAGACTGAATTTCGCAATCACACATCAAAACCGCTTCACCACCTCCTGATTTGTGTTCATTTGTATTTGTTGAAAGAGGAAGATCTAGGCCCAACCCCACTTAGAGGGGCCCAAATTAGTTAGATTATTAGTCATAATTTTATTAATTATTTTTTATGTTTTATTTAAATTAGAGTTGATTAGATAGGATTTAATTTTATCGTAATTTAAGTTTCAAGATATCAAATTTTATCTTTTAATTTTGCTATACATATTAGACAATTTGATTGAATAAACACTAAAGTTAAGCCTCAATTACTCGGCCCATATTTTCCTTAATTTCTTCGTGGCACCATGAGCCTGATTTGGTCGTTATATCCTCATTATACGGGCTATTCACGCCGCACAAAACCTCCACCAAGAGGTAAACCCATCAACTCTTATCCGCGACCATCATACAATTTGAACTTTGAGTGGGAGTTAATGTTCGCTACCTGCTCCACGGGTGAAAGTGCTCTTTAAAAAATATTTTTAGTTTTTTTATGCAAATTAAGATAAATTTTTTTGACATATTTATCGTAAAATTATTTTAAAAAAATATGATTTGATTTTTACTCAATACCCTTTACGTGTAAAAACACAGTAAATATCTTATGGCCGCCTCTTCCCTTCAATTCGGCCGGCATGGGGTCCTCACAGCCAACGCTAGCTCAGCATCTACTACATCTTCCTTGGTGATTGGATCAATTGTAACACATGATTCCAGCTTTACGCGTAGAGATGTTCACGGGACAGGACGAGATCGGGACAAGGCTATTCCGGTGAACAGTGACAAGACGGGATTTTTGTCCCGCATCCTGTCCTGTCCTGTCTCGAAAGTGACCAAGACATCCCATCCCTATTGTTTTTTTTTCTCCTTTCAATTTTGGGCCTTTAGTCAGAATATTGGGCCTGTCATTTTGATTAAAATTTCTTCTTGTTTCTTTTTTTTCCAAGCCTAACAAATTGTTTTGAGCTAAAAACAATAATTTGGACTTTTGAAAATAGACAATACTTATAATTATTTCTAACAAATTAGACACTTTCGTTAATTAAAATTGATTCAGCAAAACCTCAACCTGACGCCACGGATGAAGAAGATGCAAAGATTAAATGCTAAAATTGTAATAGCATTTGTCCATCTTTCTTGATCTGTCAGTTAACTAATCAATTCATGCGATATAGGGACAGTTTAGAGCGAAGCCAAGATGGGATCACGATTCATAGCGATGGGCTCATGGGGACAGAGCTGGCGATTGAGGGGAGAGATAGGGTAAGAAGACGCAATCAGAGATGAACAAAGACAGCAGAGTGAAGGCAGTAACAGGAATGAGCTTACCTCACGACGATGCGACGGCAGGCGGGAGAGTGAGCAGTGAACGCGACGCAGGGAGAATACAAGGGCGATAATCATGGCGAAGCAATGAGTATTCATAGAGCAGAGCGAAGGCAAGAAGGATAATGCAAGCATGTAGCTGCGATGACAGCAACAGCAGGGAGGTTCATGACAATCAGTAGCTAGAGAGAAGGAGTCCCAGGAGGAGTGACGGAGGTGAGGATCTGGAGCCGAGACTGAGAGGGAGATGGATTGAAATGATAATAGATTAGGGCATCAGAAAAATTCTTTGTATTTTATTTACTTGTCATATTTGCAATTTTTTAAAAATTATATACCCTAGGATGGGACAACCCCGTCTTGCATTCTGTCCCATGCTGTCTCGGACTTGTCCTGTTCCTAAAATTTTTTTGTCCCGTCCCGTCCCGTCCCAAAGTGATCAAGACCGAGATGGACCCATTGGGACGGGATGATTTGAACACCCCTATTTACGCCTTACCAATTTGACGCAGAAAACTATCTCTCTTGCTACCACTCGATGCTTTTGTTTGTAAGAGGGCATAATAAAGAAGGATTTCTTTATGGTGACTCACTCCAGCCAGAACCTTCTGATTAGAAACATAGTTAGGTAATATGCTGGCTAATTAATTCAATGACACCAAAAGTTAGAAGAAATTTTATGCTACATAAAAATGCAAAGGATATATGAGATGCATGTAGTTTATTCTTGCAAGCTCGGTGTGTTCCAGCCAATTGATGTATAGCAGTGCATATTCCTTGCAAAGCCTCAATTCGGATGGCTCTCATTTGTGTCACTTTATAAAAGCGGATTTATGCAACTTTTTCCGTTCCATATTGCAATATATGTAACCATTTTTTGCTCCTCTCCTAGTGGTCTTAAAAATCAACGTATCTTTTTTATTTTGCAAGCAGGAACTGCTCTTTTACCCAAGATATTTAAGTATATTAATTCTAATAATAATATTTAATAAGCCATGAATTAATATATATATTAACGTTATACATTATATATTATTAATATTACTATATTATTTTAATTTAATATATTAAGATTCATTTAACTAATAAAGAATTGAAAATAAAAAAAAATAAATAGAATTCTAATTTTGACATGAATCTGAACCTTGATCAAAGTATTGCTCTATTGGAAGTTGGTGTCGGATAAACATGCGAAGTGAAATTTTGTCGACATCTATTTCAGTCAACAAGTCATGGTACCACGTTTGACCATCACCTTATCTGGTTCAACATTTTCCTTCACTTTGTGTAGACGCCAATTTAGTTATTTATAGACGAAAGCATGTCATTAAAATTTTAACTGTGGATTAGTTTAATTTTTAATTTGATCCTACGTATACATATAAAATTCTAATTCATTTTGTTTTTAATATAAAGTATTTTATCCTCAAATAATTCTTATATTCATTAAATATGTTAATAAATTATTATCAATAGGTAATTTAAACACATAATTAATAAGAATATTTTAGTGACGGGAACATCTATTTTTTATTATAAATAACTCACCTTCTTAATCTCTCCAAATTAATCAACTATGTTTTATATTAATGACAAGAGAGAGTAGTAGTTAAAACCCACAAACAAAACCTAAAATGTTACTTCTCCAGTCTTTAATATATGACATAATTGTTGAATTGATTTTGGTCCTAAATATAAGATGTATTTCTCATATTTATCAATTATTCCTAAATTATCCCTATGTATACTCCCTCAATCATAATCAAGTAGAAAAAGAAGGGAGGATATTAAGGAAGATAATTATAGTGTTTTAAGAAAAACATGTTATATTTTTTATAATTAACTAACTTATCTAATTTTTTTAATCTAATTAAATTAGTTAAATAGGTTTTATATTAAGGATCGAAAGAATAGTTACAAAGAAAACTCCTATTTAAATTAATGGGATTGTCCCATACGTTACGTATATGATCATCTAATAATACTCTTCTCGGTGCTTCGCATGCTAGTTTCTGTATCTATACTACATGACAAGACTAATAATTCTTGCAATTTCGAAACTAGACACCGAAGAAGATTGCTTACTCCTAGTGATTAACTTTTTTTGGTAAATAAATACTACTTCTCTTATTCTTAATATAAAATTAGTTGATATGATATTTTTTTTAAAACATTTTATCCATTTTTCTCAGTTTCCTCTTTCTCTTTCTCACTTCATTTTTTTTTGTTAAAAAATATCAATAAGTTTAATTTTAAAAAAACTGATAAACTTATAAATATGTCTTGCATATCAAGTACTCCCTCTGTTCTTTGTTATAAGAGACATTTGATGCTTATGGCATGTTCTCATATATAAGAGACACTTAAAAGTTGTCTCTATTTTTTTGAATTGATTTCCTATTTTACCCTTATTTATTTTGTCTCCAACTCATACTCTCTCTCCCTCTCATTTTTCTTTCTTTTAATAATTTAATTGTTCTCTCTCATACTCTCACTCCTTATTAATGGGGACATTGTTAGAAAAAATATTATACTTTTTATATATATTTATTGTCCTCAATTAATTTTAATTATTTTTTTATCAACGTAATTTGATTATTTGTCTTTTATAATAAAGAACGGAATGAGTATTTAATAAATAAAGTATTCCTTGGCAAATCGTGTTAGAGCCTTTTCCGTCAAAACGCGCGAAACCCTTAAAGAGTTATTTCCCAGGTCTCGATTCGTCAAGCTCTTATACAGTGATACAGAGTTGCTTCCAGGAGGAAAGAGGAAGAAGGAATTAATGGGAAATAATGCGAAGGGCGAAGATGAAAATCAAAGCCGAAACCCGGTCAAATATAAGCTTAATGTGAAGGGCGAAGGTGAAACTCAAAGCCAAAACCCGGCGAAAACCAACAACAAAAAGCGTAAGGAAGTCTTTCCTTATGGCAATTACAGGAATTACTATGGCTATCGAGTAATCTTCTTTCCTTAATCTTCGCTTCCCTGCACTTCATGCGAGTTCTATTTTGCTAGAAAACTTCGGAAAATTGGAGAGTTTCAAGGTTCAGCACCATCGTTCATCATCAACCACTTATTTATTTTCGCATTTATATACAATGACTACGAAATAATTTTCAAGTATCATCACTGGATCAATTTGAACTTTTCCTATCGTTTTGTTTGGTTGCTTAGAATATGGGTTATGTCTTTGAAGCGTTGATCTTTCACGTGAATACTTCACTATCAAATTTAAAAAAATTATATATAGAGCATGACATTGGCTGCCTACATGCATATTATTTGAGTTTTTCAGTATTTCTAAGTCATCAAATACTCAATCAAAATTTGTAACTATATATATATACACACACATATATATCTCCGTGTGTGTGTGTGTGTTTTTTTTTTTTTTTTTTAAATTTTGCTGGGTTCATCTGTGCTTCATCAACGTATTTTTGCCTCAGCTTGAGCATATTTTGGCTCATTCTGTTACGCACTCATAAGGTTTCTGCCTATACGGAGAAAAAATGAATGGGTGTAAAGAAAGGAAGTGGGCTCATTCACTTCCATCCTTGTGACACACAGTCTTAGACTATACTATCTCTAGTCACATTTGTGCTATGCCTTGATAATAAGAGTGCCCATTCTATTTTAGGGGTTGCTTCTTTTTGTGTTCATAGTAGATTGATTTTGATGCATACAACTAATGATGTTTCAGATAGGTCAAGACCTAGATGAAGATCCTCGATTGAAAGTCTTCAGGAAGGAATGGTTTGAGGGAAAGGATTGTCTTGATATTGGCTGCAACAACGGGAGAATTACCATCCAAATTGGTAAAAAGTTCCTACTTTTTTTAAATGCTTGAGACTGGGCAAATTAAGATTCATGTCCTTTCTTTATTGTCTTTTTGTACCTTCCCCACAAAGTTTATGGATGTTGATTACCTTGAATGGGCTTGTTTGATGTAGTGAGTACACCTAGGTGACATAAATCAAGCAGGACTTTTATTTTAATGTGATTTATAACCAGTTTTCATTCATTTTATTATGTTTTTACTTTTTTGTGTGTGTGCTTGTTTATAAAGCAACAAAGCAAAAATAATTTGGATGTATCCTTGGGTTATTTGTATTATCCACATGTTATGTCTTTACTGACTAAGTTGATGCCAAGTTTTTAAATAAAGCTGCAATTAACCCTTGTCTGTACTCCTTAAAAAATTGTATCTGTGCATTATAATGTTAAAACTGACGTCTAGACCACATGATCATGCCACTGTTGCCATGAAAAGCAGAGTTGTTTCTGTTATTGATTGTTATGCCATGATGACAGTGAGCACCAGAGGAATTTAATCATGAAAAGTAACAGATAAGATTGGTGTTCTATTATATGTTTGTTAAAACCGTTATTGAGGTAAAACATGCTTGCTGCTTGATGATGATTATCTTTTGGCTTGCAAGGCACATTTTTTATTTTTACTTGCAGTCACTGCTGTAATTGGCTTGCTGTCTTCTTGAGTTTTATATGACCACGATGATGATTGGGACTGTTGATACTTTAAAATTTTACTTGCTAGATCTTTAGTCGGAACAAGGATATAATAGTTGCAAAGGAAAAAAAATATCTGATTTGCAATTATTGAATTGTGGGGATAATATTTACTGATGGTATTTTTTTGCCTTTTGTTTTAATAGAGGCATGGAATGTGATTGTTTTTTCAATTTTATGCTGTTAAAACTCACATTTAAATGAAGTCTTTCTTGTTGATGTATTGTGATGTTGTTCTGAATACTGCCTTTTACCCCTCAGCAAAGAAGTTTCTCTGCCGGAGCATTCTTGGAATTGACATTGATTCTAGTAAGATTCTTATTAATATTTATGTTTGTTCCTTAATGCTGTGCTTCAAGTTTGAAATGAACTTTGATTGAGTTTGTTAAAGAGCTCTCACAAACATTCAAAATGCATCAAATGCAGAAGCTAATTCTTTATAATTTATATCTATTTGTGGCACTGCACTCATTTAGCCTACTCAAGCTTCTGGGACGCATCCTTATGGTCCTGCTATTTCGGCAGGAATATGAGAATGATTTGGATTGCTCTTTTCATCAAGTGGCTTTTGAGCCTCAAAAGTTTTAACTTATCCTAACTCATATGTGAAAAATAAACTGACAATTCTGAAATCCTGTTTGGATGCTTGATAGGAACTTAATGAAGTAGTTTACATTAATTTGATTCATAAATTTAGGAAAAAGTAGCTGGAATTTCTCAGTGTCTGCACCCTCAGATCAGTAGCATCAAAAAATGTTTAGTTTATATATTTTCCTTTTCCATTCTGCCAGATCTGGTTCAGGATGCATACTGGAATCTGAGAAAAGCAGTCAAATTAGAGTCTTCTGTGAAGAAACCTGCAAACGCCTCAAAGCTAAGAGTTGAGGACCAGCCTGATGGTAATTTAGAACAGAGTGTTACTGTCTCATCATCTTATGAAGAGCCCAAAGAACCTTCATCTATGGAGGGCAGAAATCTGTCTGATGTTGTTTCATTCCAAAGAGATAATATTGTTAAGAGTCATCATTCCCCAGAAAAACGCTATGACACAATTATATGGTTAGTTGCTGTTTTTACTGTTGTGCATTACAAGATAAAACAAAGTTTCCTTTGGTAGAGAAAACTTCCCTTTGGGTAATGGATATAAAATTGTCATTCTTAACATGTTTTAGGATGTTAATTCTTTTTCAAAATTCCATTGCTTTAATAATAGAGGATGGATGGAAACATAAATGTCACCAATTATTTTTGGTTTCTTTTTCTCTTCTTTATTAACTTATACAAGATAGTTGCTATTCTAATGCATTACCGAAGTATTGTAATTTTGTCTGTTTTTTAATTCCTGGATTGCATTGCACCTGTATTTTTATAATAAATGGGCTTCCCTTGTTATGTACCAAGAGACTTTGTTTTATTTCCTTTTATTACGAAGTGGCTAAAAATGGGTAAGTTGACTTACTCCTTCTGCAATGCAGTATGAGTGTGACAAAATGGGTACAGCTCAATTGGGGGGATGATGGCTTGCTCACATTATTTGCAAAGATTTGGAAAATGCTTCGACCAGTAAGTGTCATCTCCTCCTGTCAAATTATGATTTCGCTTTTCACTTTTGCATTTAATCAATTGAAATTGAAGTTTTTGTGTTTCTGTTTGTTCTTCTCATTTATTAAGAGGGAGGTTTGGTATTGTGACTTTATGGTTGTTTTCTCATCCTTTAGTTACATAAATATCTTTACTTGTGATCAGGGTGGTGTTCTTGTGTTGGAACCTCAGCCATGGAAATCATATGAAAGTAATCGTCTTGTCTCAGAGGTAATAATTAGCTTGCTTACTTGTCCTTGTCTATGTTTTGTATTCCAGCTGTGTGTGTGTCTTCCAGCTCACACCTCGCAGCATGTAAGTCAGATACACGCTAGGCTTATTAGTTACAGGCCCATCATTGTGTTCGTCTTTCTTTGCTTCTATTCAGTTTTTTCTTGTTTTTACTGTCACTAGAGCCTAGAAAAGGATTATAGAACTACTATTTCCATAATTAATGCACATGTATTGTTTTTAACTATGCTCTCAACTATATTTGTGGTTAGGTATCACTAACTCCTTATTTTTTTCCATCCAATATGTAGACTACTGCTGTCAACTACCGTAATATAATGTTTCGTCCAGAACAGTTTCAGGAAATACTATTGGACAAGGTTTGTATGAATTGTTGCTTCGTGGTACTTTTCATTCTTAAAATAGGTTTAATATGTAACTAGTTCTTTTGTTGTGTAGCTTGTGTAGCTCAATTATTAGAGTAAATTACTATTTTCTCCATGTGGTTTGGGCTGTTTTCCTTGCCATCCTGTGGTTCAATAAGTAGGAATAACAACGGGTGGATGTCCGGTCGATTTTTCTATCCATGTATCTGTCCAAAACACCATCCATCAAACCATGATTGGATTTTATGTGAGTTTCCAATGATCTGATATCCAAAGTGTCCGATAGAGGCTTTTTCTAGACATGGACAAAAGCACGAGGGGTTATTATGGTGAAGCAATCTGGGCAACACTTGAGGTGGCAGGCCAGGATAGAGCAAACCACAGAGGAATCTTATTTTTCCCCTCCTATCAATTATCATTTTGCTAAAATTTTAGTGTCTGGACATGTTTGTAGGTTGGATTCAGAACCGTAGAAGATATCACTTCAGAATTGTCAGGGACCAAAACTGGTTTCAATAGACCAATTTTGGTGTTTAAGAAATGAGCCATACAGAAAGTCAGGTATCTACATTCATGAATTTCATGCGAAACCATGCTTCCTCCTTCGAGTAATTCAGTCTGTTTGTTTTTCTCTTCTGGCCTTAAATCTATTTTGAGGGCTATATTTGTGGGTTACTTGCAGATATCTTGTTCTGTCTTGGTAAAGTGGAGGGTCAATGCAACACCAGCAACTAACGACGAGTATATGTCTGTTGACTTAGCCCGGGTGAAAGAGGGACAAGTATCTATGAATACGACGGCGATGTTTGCCGCATTGCTTGCTTGGAATGGGCGTGAAGTGAGTTGGTAGTACATATTTGATCAAATTTGATATTTAAAGCGAAACCGGCAATGCCTACTCGATGCGTTTCACTCCGGTTCGAATTCTGCGCACATCATGGGACCGTCCAGCTGTATTTGATTATATCCTATGCTGCTTTGATTCATGGAACTCGTATGATGCTGATTTTAAGGGTCCTTTTGATAGGAGGGAAATGGAAGGAAGGGAAGGAAAAATTTTAATGGACTTATTTTAAAAAATTGAAGTTAGGTTAAAAACTTTCAATTAATTTTTTATTACTCTTTTATCTTATATTTATTAAAATTTTGAAATCCGATTTCAAATTTTCAAATTAGGCTCATTAAAATTTTTTCTCTTCTCATTTTTCTTTCATTTCTCTCATACCAAGCAGGGTAAAGATCTTAGTGTAAGAATTAGATAATTATTTTATGAATATTAAGAAAATTAGTTAAATTAATTATTTGTAATAAATAGATGTTATTTTTTAAAAAAATTCTTATTAATCATGCGAATAAAAACTTAGATATGTGTAGGATTTATTTTTAAACAAATGAATAAATATGCCAAACAAAATAAATTAAATTTTTATATTTAGAATCAGATTGAATTTTTAATTAGTTCTAATATTTAGGACATAACTTTCACAAATTTGAATTGATCATAACGTGAAAAGTTTTATTTGCTCAGTCAACTGGTATTATTTGCCCCGTCGACTTGCGTGGTCAAGCTCGCAAGTTTGCATTATTTAATACACGATAATTTTATAAATACAAGTGACTTTTATCTTTTAGTAATAAACAGCAGACATTAGACAATATTCTGTCCTTCACGTAAAATAGTCACCAAAAAAGAAAAATTAAAAGTTGCCTTCGTTAAGGATAAAAAATAATTGCCTTTCAACGACATAAATCATGCATATTAAATAGGAAAATTTGAGGGAAAAAAATTCTGGTGAAAGCTTTATCCGCGAAAAGAATTTGATAACTTTTTACCTACAAGGAGCATTGGTACCACAAACTGCATGGGGAAATTTGGAGATAAATCTCTCGTTAGAAATTTAATTAGCAAATAATTTCTACAATAATGGATTGTACAAGAAAAAATAAGTTGCACATCAAAGAAGTTAAACTGCACAAAAAAGATGATTTGTAAAAACACTATTTGAACATAGAGGTCTAATTTGCACACTATAAAAGTTGAGATACACAAAGTCTTAAGAATTATTTATTTACCAATTAATTTATCCATAAGGAACTTATCCCTAATTTTTTGAATTTTATACAGAGTATGAATACTCTAATTCTGATTATTTTCACCAATAAAATTTTCAATAGTGCACTTTCTCATAATAAATGCAAGGTATTCAATACCTTCATTTGTAGGCCTCATTGCAGAAACTCAACTACTACCTCTGGTTTTTAATACAAAACTCTGTCTAACTTTTATTTTGATCCTAAATATAAGATCCCAATTCACTTTGTCTCTCATATTTATACATTTTTCCAAAATAATCCTTCTAATAATAATGATTCTAGTCAATACACTTGATTAGTAAGGATATTTTAGAAAAGACAACACTTATTTAAAACAAATAACTAACTCAACTTACTTCCTTAACCTCTTCATATTAATCAACCGCCTCTTATAATTAGGACCAGAAGTAGTACTTTTCTAGTCCATAATACAAGTCTAATTTAACTGCCACATGTAGTTAAAGATTAAAAGTTAAAAAGAAATTAAAACATTAAATTAGAAAAATTTGTACAATTTTCCAGATCCCTTATAAAAAGTCAGTGGTATGTTCATCACAGTAAATTAATTAATTATAAATTTTAAATAAATACTATGTATTATTGAACCAAGTCAAATTCATTAAAAATGTACTGGAGGAAAGTATCACCCAAAAAAAAAATGTACCGGAGCAACTAAAATTGAATTCAGTCAATGTTTAAGCACTTCTCGTCATTCAAATGACTAGCAAATTATCAACCGGAAAGAAATCATAAATATGCCAGGAGAACACGCATCTAGTTGCCATAAAAGATCTTTTATCGCCAACGTATGAGATAAATTCAGTGATACTGTCCCAGGACGAAAGACCATTCGTTGGTTTGGTAGGCATAGTTGTTTTCACTCAAACGGACTGGAGTCCCAGGATACAGAGCAAAAACCTCTAAAATATATTAGCAAATATTTAACTCTGAAATTCTTGCATTTCAAAATTGTAATTACAACAACTAGACAACCTTCAGCCACATCGACGATCCAAGTCAAGGATATTTTCCACCAGAATCTTAGAAACGTGAGACAGCTTGGACCCCAAGATATTCATATTCTGCAGCACCCGGGTGGACTGTGAATAATTTAGAAAATAAAAAAGAATTGGTCTGTGGTCACATAGCGTTAACACTGAGGAAGAAACGTGTCATGTACCAAACATCTCCCAACAGTCTACATGTTTTTATCTTCATCAGAAAATCAATTCTCTCCGTCTCATTTGATCAGTCTGCTGCATGATTTAAATGCTGAAATAAGAAATACAAATAAAAATGAAAAATTATGGTTACCTAAACTGGTACCCATAAAAATGGAAGAGAAGACACAAAATATACGAGTCGCTAACCTATGAGCTGCAATTGTAATCTATCCAAATGGGCATTGGATAAAATCGTGGATAAACCAGATCCAGCTCAGGATACCAAAGTTACCGGCCTTCAAATGTATTCTGTCGTAAGAATTGTTTTCCCTTGAGCCCAGAACCAGCACCTTTAACCAAAAAAGAGCATAGGTTGTCCATGAAGTGGCAGCCTTCTAACAGAAATGTCGAAAAAACAATCAAAAAAACTCCATTCGTGAAAAGGCCTATTGGCTACAGCATCAAACGCACATAGAAAGCATCTCTTTTAAAATTTGTTACAAAGCCTAACTAGATCCACAGCCTAATGATGCAGCATCAATTAATCCGTCATTCTTTTCTCCTGCACAATTTATCACCGAAGAAAACCCAATCCTTCATACTCTTTAAGTCTAAAACATCAATATTTCTCACAACATTCAAAAGATCACTAAGAGCTACAAAATCATTTTGTTCCTTGGATGATTAATTGAAACAAACATATCGGCTCTTCATAGTCCCTGATCAAAGGTGTCAGAATAATCCAATACCGGCAAAAAGAGCTTAGCACAGCTCCAATGCATCAAATCAAAATCTTTGAAAAATTAGGATACCAAATCGTAACAGATGAGTAGATTAATTCATTTCTCCGGAAAGCATTTTAGAACTTCAGCAACTTGCTGCCATCCAATCCATATGACTACAGATTAAGCTAGCTATGGCAGGTAAACTTAGGTCCATAATTCTTCAAATAAGGTGATATCATCAAGTAGCTCTCCATTTCCTCCAAGTATATGACCAATAATAACTATAGAATACACGTAAGTTTATTCAAAAGCCAGTCATGGCTAGATGCTAAGTGATAGGAATATTAGGACCGTAATATCTTTAATGCATTCCCACCCCAATGGCGTTTAAACAGATCTATACATCAGAAGCAAGACTATAGAGAGGCAGGCACCTGTTGATAGGGGAATCTACTTACTCATACTTCATCCCTCATAAACATTGGTTGGAATAGAAGACTCCTGCAAAAGTGAAAAATACGAAATGATAATTGAACAGCTCATTTGCAATCAATTTAATCACTAGAACATAAAATATGCAGCACCATTTCCGAACCTTGAACAAGACTGACAAAACCAGATTGTACCCATTAATCCCAAGAATGTCAATACAAGTTAACCTGGCTGAGTGCCAATTTTTGTGCTACCTACAAGTAGAGAAGTGCTGCTTGAGCATCCTGGTCGCACCAAAGAAAATTAGAGACTCCCATTAATAAAAAAATGGAACTTCCTGCAGTATACAAAATAAACTTTGTAGCTGAATACAAATGTTTCTTTCCACCCCACATGGATAAAAGTAGATAAACAGGAATTAATCCCACATGATGAAAAAAAGTAAAATGTCTTGAGAAGAAAATGATCCTATTTGACCGCTATACATCGCTAAAATCAGGAAATGGAATAATCGGGATTCCCGAGTAACCAGCTGAGCCGCTAAAGTAGCTAAAGTGGACACAAAATAAGTTCATGAAATCAAAGGTAAATTACAGGAGAAACCTCTTATCCTTCAAACTACCGCTGACAATAATTAAATATAAAATTTGTTGAAGAACTTTCCTTGAAATAAAAAATCAAAGTTTAAAAGAATGGAAAAGTTTCAGAAAATGAGATATGGTTCCTGACAATTGAGCCCAGCTCATTGCCCAACAAGAGACCAGTCCATAATCATTTGTAATTGTGAAGTAGAGCCACCAAAAACTAACTTCGATATTCATAAAGTTATGATGACCTGATATAGGCTCCTCTATATTTGTGGTGACCTGGTTACTGACAAGAAATTGTGACTTACCACTGTGAGAGGAAAATGATGTGATGAGGAAGGAAGCAGTCAAAGAAACATACACATGAAACTCTTCCCAGTTTATGCTTCCCCCACACTAAGAATTTTATTATTGATCGTCATAACATGATATATGGGCAGTAAAGAGTTTCTAATTTTAGACAGAAAATAACAACACGATTATGTAAACATAAAGCCGCAATAAAATAAATGTCTATAAAAGAAACTGAAGATACACCTGCAATTCATAATATTGTCAACCAATTCAAACCAAACTGTATCGCCACTTATCACATGGCACAACAAAACTTATCAAGTGACAAAAGGGGGGAAATGGCTTTCACACATTATCATTACAAGGAAACATGAATACACAAGATTGCTGTGTGCCACATTTGACATCTATGTACAGCACAGGAGCGAAGCCTGGGTAGTCTGTATTTTATTATACCAATCGTTTGTAGTCACCTTGGGAAAGAAGTAGCACAAGATGGCAGCAAATTTGACAGTCTCCATTAATAAATCACTGAGATATTCTCGATTAAATACACAGGAAAGGAAGCAAGTGAACCACCACACATTTGCAGCTTGACATATGCACGAGAATTTTCTTGAACAGATTCACAGCTGCAAATACAGCATGATATAATTGGTCAAGCATAAGACTGATAATAATAATCATTACAACACAAGAATCAAGACGCCAAAGAACAGGGAAATACCATATCGGCACTATTTCATTTGCCACGATGCAGAGATGAAATCCAGCTGCTAGAAGGGCCAATTTTACCAACATGTTCATGTCCAGAATTAGCAGCTTCAGCAGACATGATGGGCTTCAAGGAGTCCCTTTTGGAGATACCAGAAAGCGAATATGAAGTAGAGGGCATATTCTCCTCACGAAAAATCTACAAAATAAAATGATTGATAAACATTCATATGCTAAATTTTTAACATAATAGTTCACAACAAACATTAAGATTTTAGTGTTGCATTGGTCAAAACAAGAAAGAAGTCATTGCTCTTAGCAGGACGACTTACATTCTTCTTAAAAGGATGTTCAGAACTTAAATGTTTGCCCATTGGTGATTTAAACTGCAATTTAACACCAGAACTTGTAGCATTGCCTGATCTAATGCGATCTGATACATCAACTGAAAAAGCATCAACAGCTGCTCGATTAGATAATAATAAACATGATATTGGCTTCCACACATAAAACATTTTAGTATTAATGGACACGAATAGTGAAATGTAACCCCCTCCATCTTTTCCAACATTTACTGAATGACTACACTAATTCAATATGCACAAAGAGCAGTAAACTAAGCCTAACCATGATGGTTGTCAACATCCATAGGCATTGCACGAGTGTTGCTTGCTCCAGTAACCGGCTGAAATATGACAAAATTCAGTATTCGCAGAGACAAAGAAATATTGAAATGCAAACAATCAGTATGTCTCCACCCCGCTCTAGGACAGGATGGACAAAAGGGAATGAGGATTGGCTCAGCAATAAGGCATTCTTACAGGTATGCGTGGCTGAGATTTGTTCTTTTGTGCCTGCTGATATTTCAAGATGGTCCAATCAAATACATAGTCAAACTCATAACCTGTTATACACCAAAATGGGACAACAAAGGAAAAAAAATTATCCTGAAGCGCAGAAATGGGAATAAAGGAAGTTATGCATGCTGCATAAAAATAGCCCATTCCAAATTCTTGATTTGGTGCATTTCTTCATGCATTGGGCACAATTAAATGCTAATCAAATTTAGTGCAGAACAAATACATTAACACATGATAAAAAGACTGCAATTTTATGTTGAGACGTATAGTTTCTACACATATGAGGAAAGCTTTGTGAATTCTACAAGCTATATCTTCTGGCAAATCCATTTCAGGGTCATTAATTCATTTCCCTTTGATCTCCTAACAAGACATGCACGTAAAATACGGCAGTTCGGTTACAATAGTTCTCCATAACCAAAGACTACCACTCATGTTATACAAGCACAAATCTGTAAGTTGCATCGTTTTATTCAATTCAAATGATAAGCAGAATGAGTACCTTCTCGAGTAAATAGTTCCCGAAATACACGCTTTAAGAATCCATAATCAGGCCGCTGGTCAAAAGTCAGAGAGTGGCAGTAGTGAAAGTATGAAGCAAACTCTACAGGATGAGATTTGCAGAGGACCTTTGGCAAGTAAGAATGCAAATAAGTGTCATCATTAAGAATTCAAGACAGCACCAAAACATGAGAAAAAGAGGAAAGAAAGGGAGGAAAGCAAGCCATTCACCTCAATGGGAGTTGACAATTTCTTTTCACATATTTTATCATACTTCTGCTTCTTTGTTGCAGCCTTTAGACCTTGCCAAGGAAGGCTAAACACAAAAAAATTTGCCATTTAAAACTGATCATGCTTCATTGTAACGCTCTCAATAGCAGATTATTTGGGTTGGGGGTTGACTTGCGGAGGTAGCTGGAGAGCAATGGCATACCTTCCTCTCAAGAAGTACAGAAGAACGTAACCCAGTGACTCCAAGTCATCCCGTCGGCTTTGTTCTGCAAGTATTAAAAGCAAATGAGGAAATTGATTTCTACTCGCTCTCTCTCTCTCTCTCTCTCTCTCTCTCTCTTCATTATTTTGGAATGCGAGGGTTCAATAACTTGCCGACTTACCAATCCCAAGATGAGTATTGCAACTTGCATAGCGTGCAGTCCCTGTTAAATTTTTGTTCTCCCTGAGAGGCAAAATTATTATAGTAAGTTAAAAATCAGGATCATTTTCTGGAGGAACAAGAGGAAAAAAAACAGGAAGAAAAAGGAAATAATGAAGCAAAATATACAAAGACAGTTTGAACTTACTTCTGGTGAGGCAGGAGAAGAGAGAAAAAAAATTAGCATCCATCAATGGAATAAATTTAAATACCTATAAGGGATGTGGCGATTGGTGGTGGAGTCCCGATACCTTTTCGCAAGACCAAAATCAATTATGTAAACCTGCCAAATAGAACAGAAGCGCAACATATTGCTACATAAAACAGAAAAACTTGACTCAAAGGAAAGGCCCATCAAATCTGACTAAGAGAGAACAGAAATCACAAGGTAATTACCTGGTTAGCCTTCCGGCCAAGTCCCATGAGAAAGTTATCAGGTTTTACATCCCTATGTAAGAACCCCTTAGAGTGCACATATTCTATTCTAGTGATCTGAAAAAAGAAAAAGCAATAGTTATCATCAAAATATCAAAAGTACAGTTATGGTGGAAAAAAATGATGACGCTTATTAAATTTTTCCTAATTCTATGCAACGAACCAGGGGCAATTTGCCGGACCATTATTAGAGAAAGACGGAGAAAATTTTGCTTTCGGGAGGAGGGAAAGTTGTATTAAACTGACCCAAAAGAAAATCCATAAAGAAAGCCGAATATTTCAACCAACGTCAAACTCAGAGACACAAGTGCACTGACCATTAATCAGAACAATTACGTGCACGTGCTATGATGAATAAGCGTGTGAGCATCCATCCCTAGACAATAAAGCATGCCAGCTTACCATTTGATCAGCCAGCATTAAGACTGTCTTCAATGAAAACTTTCTTCCGCAATACACAAACAGATCCTCAAGACTCGGTCCCAGCAAATCAAGAACAAGCACATTCTCCTCCCCATCAACGCCAGACCATTTTATGCTTGGAATGCCACCTGCATGACAAGTATCAAAGACACAAGCATCCAGAATTTAATAATTCACCACGTCAGAACTTTTGTGTGAATAAGTACTCACTAAAAAGGACCAAACCCAGATAAAGAGACTAAAAGTTTAGCACTGCTTAGCACATACTTCCTCCTTGAAGAATATTGTACAGTTTTGCCTCGTAAAGCAACTGCGGATGCTTTGTTTTACTATTCTCCTGCGACATCCAAGAAGAAAATAGTCAAGGACGAACTCAACGATTTATATTGCCACCAATGATTGGTTAAAGGTGATACCAACAAGCCAAACAACATACTAATTTGCATGCGAATTCAGACAAAATAAAATACCGAAACCTGCTAGAACAATTCACCGAGATCCTGTAATATTTATAGAGCTATACAAGCAGATAACACAGGCGTCGACTAAAGCAAAAGAAAGAGACTTACGATCTTGACGGCGACGATCTCGAAAGTATCAATATGCGTAGCTGCAAGAACAAAAGGAAAACAAGAAATTGACGAAGATCAATAGGTTTGCAGTGACGCAAAGGGGTTTAAAATAAAAAAAGCAATCGTTCACAAGTCCAGAGCAGAAGAGAGAGAAATATGACCAAGATAAATTTCACCGAAGGATCCGCTTCCGATCTTGCGGCCAAGCTTATACTTGCCGCCTACAATCCGTTCCATGACGAATGTTGAGAGGAGGGATGAAGAAACTAGCAGCGCATAAAAGAGAAGCTAGGGTTCTAAAACTGTTCGATCTGAATCTAAAAAGGGTATACGAGATTACGAGAGGATCTCTGTCTTTGGAAGAAGAGAGACCAAAGCCACAGAGATAGATTCCGAAGTGCACGATGACACGGACGGGAGAGGCAAGGGCAATTTTGTCGTTTGACTTAGTTCACATCTGACATCACGGGAACTTGCGGTCTTGCGGATAACGCAGAGGGACACATTTGTAAATTCCAGGCCCCATCGCATGGGTTAATCACTTAATCTCTTCCCCCACTCGCCTGCATAACTACATCATATTATAAATGCAGGGTTATTCTGCAAATTTATCCTTAAAATTTTTTATTCAAGAACAATATTTAAAAGGTTTCTAATATACAAATTTATACTGAAAATTCAATATTATAGCAGTTTTATCTCTTACTATTAAAGATATTAATGATAATGCTCCTATTTTACTGATCAATGTTAATTTTTTAATAGTGAGAGGCAAAATTAGGATAATTTTAAATTTTTATGGTAAATTTACACTCAAAAAAAAATTAGTATCTAATACTCTTCCGGTTCTTAATATAGGACACAATTCTTAAGTTGGTTTTGGTCTTAAATACAAGACTAATTTCTCATATTTATCAGTTTTCTCTAAATTACCCCTATGAATACTCTCTCAATCACAATCAAGTAGAAGAGGGAGATGGGGTATTAAGAAATATGATTATGGTGTTTTAGGAACAATGTGTCATTTTTCTTATAATTAATTAACTTACCTAACTTTCTTAATCTAATCAAATTAATTAAATGGATCTTATATTAAAAACCGAAAGATCGAGGAGTACTTTTGAGAAAATTTTTAAAAACAAATTTACACTTTAACTCTTATATTATATATTATATGGGTGATTTTATCCATCAACTAAGTGAAAGAGATTTGGATTTCTTAATTGATTGATACTTTCTCAACCAGGTTTCAATTGAGGACTATCAACCCTAAATTATACTCTAATGTTATTAAGAGTGAAGTGCTCTAATTATAACGACTTCTTCAACATTGTTTGATACAATATAATGATTAATAAACTGTACTTAATTAAAAAAATCCAATTTTTACAGTGCTGAGTTACTACTATTAAACTCTGCCTTTGCAGCCAAAAAAAACAAAAAATAGTGCCTGCACCTCATGCTTGGTATGGTGAGGCCCATCCCGACAGAGCTTCTAAATTATAATCAATCCATTCTCGGAGTATATTTTTGCTTTTCAGTTTTATCAAAGGTTTATTCATCAAAAATTAGTTTGTTAATTGTTATAACAAAATTTGTATTTGGATTTTTTTAAAAAAAAAACCAGTTTAACAAATTAAAAATTGTTTGGAAAGTACTACTTCGAACCAGCTTTTATTATTTGCAAAAAAAAAAAAAAAAGTGGACGAAAGCTATTCAAAAATCTGTAGTTGTTGAAAAGCAACTCATATTAACTCCTCATACAGATAATTTCATGAAGGGAAAAAAAATACCCAAATAACTTTCTACTTTTAAAATCATTTGGAAAAGTCTTTTCATTTTACCAACATATGCGTCTAATGTTACTTTCTACACCTACATTCTTACTTGTGCTTTTCTAATGTATTGTTTGTGCGTCGGAGTGGGTGGAGAAGATAACATCAAAGCCTTGGTCAAAAAAAAAAAAAAAACATCAAAGCCATCGCTAGATGTGGATGAAATCAATCAACTTATCACTTACAAATAATATAACTTCACGTCTTCAATTGATTTAATTTAACAGGATTTTTTTTTATTATGAAAATATTTCATCTCTATCAAAAAAAGATAGGATTAAAAAATGTCTAGTTATTTTCACATGCTTCTTATTTATCCCATGGCTTGCATAAATTATAAAATAGAATGGCACAGGAGGCGCATGATAAGTCACACGATAAGAAGCCATTTAAGGGTGTGTTCGGGATCAAGTTATTCATCTCAAACTGACTTCCACGCCATGAAAAAATAGCTCAAGCTTAAATGTATGTTTGGATTGACTGCTAGGCAGATAGATTTACAATGGACTTCTGGACTAAAAGTCGAAAGCAACTTGTAGTTGCTTCTTACTTTTGGCTTCTGGCTTTTTCATCTCCACTTCTTTGTTTTCTTTGTTTTGATTCTTTATCCAAACAAGATTTTGTCAAGCTAATTTTTTTACAAAAACCAATCAAAGGCACAGTACACCAATCTATTGGAAAAAATTTACTTTTTTTTACCGTCAATCAAAACACACTGTAAATAACCAACGGGGGTTGGTCCAACTGGTAAGCAGTTTGGTACCATTTAAGCGAAGTTTCGAGTTCGAGCCTCAGTGTATGCAGAAATCCTCGTTGAGAGACTCACCCACCACAGCTAAGTGCGCAAAGCGGGTCAGATCCAGATGTAATCGGAGCAAAGCTCCAGTGAATTGAGTGAACAACAAAAAAAAAACACACACACTATAAATAAGGGCAAAAGAAGATTGAAGAGAACATTCAATAGGGTCATTATTGAATGAGACTTTTTGGTTGACAACATATTTAAGAATTTAATTGTTGATAGAGTACAATGACGTCATATGATCTATATAGCTAACTCCACCTGGTAAGACAAGACTTGTTGTTGTTGCAATATAACATAAAATCATTAATGATTTTATGAATGATGTGATTTTTAACATATCATTATTGATATGCGAGGATGGCACATTGCCTCACACAATTCCATTTAGAAACAGTAACGTTATTAGCTCTCACCTTATATGGAAGAAAGGGAATTATTCCAGTCACAGCACGAGTGTGACTCATTAATAGAATTTTAAACAAGTCTTGATAAGAACAAATGTTATTAATTTGTTTTAACCGTGTTATAATAATCTGATCATATTCCCGAAAGGAGCAAAGTCCAACGTCAGGTAAGTAAACATCTCGGGGGAAGACAACATCGTTGTCTAATAACGACCGATACCTGCTTCATATGCTTGCAAGTTGCAAACGTCACACTCGATCGCGCGCCCCACCCAACTGCCTCTCCGCTAATAATTCACGAGCCCATCGTGCTATGCCTCTACCTACTCATGTTTTGGGCTGTGTTTGTGCGCGCGCGTGTAAACTTCTATATAGTTCTTCTCAGTATTTGACGAGGGGGACATCTAATGATCTAAGTTCTTCTGTAAGTGGACCATGGCAAATTTAGAAATTAGAATGCACACACATTGTATAAATTGCTCAAAACCAATAAGGGATGGATATAGCAGGAGAACGAGGCTGGTCCTTATAACATGACAAACTAAAATTTAAATATCAACTAAAAGAGATACTTATATTTAACATGTAACAGTGCCTGGAATAATATTATCTGTGATAAAAAGAAGCGTATATGTAGGAAAAAAACTTATTCAAAATTTTTAAAACTATGTAAACTTTTTTATTTTTTATATGAATAATTTTTTAAAAGTAAAAATTTTATTTTGTATTTCAATTTCAATTTTCACGTTCTTATCAAAATAATCTATTAACTTAATTTAATTTGATCAATGGAGAATATTTAAATAAAAAAATTTAACATAGAATAATAAGGATATTAAAGATAAGAACGTGGATTCAAGTAATTTTTTTAAAATCGTCCTTTGAGACAAGTTGAGGATAGACAACAAATTTTGAAAACAAATAATTGTAATTATAGAATAGACCGCGATAATTACTGTAACATTTCTTCTTTGAAAACTACGGAAAATCAACATCCACGGAGCTACGCACTTCAATGCATAGATCACGATGTATGGTTTATTTACGACCACTTTTTTTTCGTCGACCATTTCTCGTTTCAATTTTGTTTTCCCGTCTTCTTTAATTTTCCGATAATGTGAGAATATTTGAAGTGTATATACCACTAATATTGGCTATCGTTATGTTCCTGTCTATTTAATTGTCTCGAGTTTTATGCCCCTCGTTATTATTGCACTCGTTGTTGTCTTTCTACCTTTTTTTGGTCTATTTTAAAATTAAATTTTTAATTCATCTAAAATCTTGAATGTTAATATTAAGCTGTTAGTTATCCTTTGTATTGCACAAACAAATTTCCATTCAATTAATAAATTAATAGATACTACCTCCGGTCTTTAATATAAGACCCTGTTTGACTTTTTTTTTTTTAAATATAAGACTCCAATCCACTTTGTCTCTCATATTTAGATATATTTTTTCAAAGTAGCCCTTCTGACAATGATAGTTCTAGTCAATATACTTGATTAGCAAGGATATTTTAAGAAAGACAACACTTATTTAGGACAAATAACTAACTCAATTTACTTCATTAATCTTTTCAGATTAGTCAACTGGTTCTTATAATTGGGATCGGAGGTAGTATATCATAAAACCTATAACAAATTGCATTTTACATGTATTATCAGCAAACTACATATGATTCATTTGTCATGTTGGGGAGAAGTTTATAAATATCTGAGCTAATTAGTGGTGGATGTATATACACATAGAAAAAAAATAAAAAGACATTTAATTCAGACCTTAGTGTCCACTTTTTGTGTTAGGACCTGTTTAAAAATATTTATAACCAGTTTTTTAATTATAATTTACAGAATACAAAATAAGTATATAAAGGAATTTTATCTCGGTAATACAAAACACGCATATAGGTGATTTCAACAGGGGCTTTAATTAATAGCTGGGCGCTAGTTAGCCCGTTGAGTATCCGGGGATGCTCGTACGTCTGGCTGGAAACTCATGCGAAGCAATGCTTTTTGGAAATCAGATGTAAACGACAGGTTTATTCTAATTGATAAGATGACGAGTCGGATTTTAATCTGATCCGTTAAATTTAATTATTTGAGTTGCTCATGTCTACTTTATCCAACCAATCAATTTTGCATAGAACGAGTTGAAGAAGATCGAGGTTGACCTGGTCGCTGTTTTTCAGATATACGCAGTTTTTCACTGGATCTGGATTCATGAAAACGAGAGAAACTTGACAGCATCTTGGAAGAACATACCGGACCATTTTTAATTGCAGAAGTTCACTCTATCTCTTATTCAGCAATGTCTTGCTATTAATGCACACAATATCACACCCACGAGTTGCCTCATAATGATAAGCTTGTAAGAACTTAGGAGTAAGAAACGCTTCTTCATAAAGACACATAAATAAATAATCAATGAATAACAGAAATGCTCTTTTAATTTATTACGCTAGCTCCTAGTGAACAGGAATGAAAGCACCCAGGATTGAAACAGACCCAAAAGCAGGTGAAGAAGGAAACTTGAGAGCAATTTCCCACATGTACTTAGAACTGATTTTTAAAGCACTCAGGAGCCATTTGTCCATTAAATCTTTTGAAATCTGCGCAGTAGTCATAAATCATGTGGTTCTTTCTGACCCAACTCAGCTGACCCATCTGGCCATAACTCAGCCTGCTGTAAATAGGATTCGTCCACCAGTTCGCAGGGACATTGGCTGCACACTGACTAATGCTCACTGGTCCATTCCACCTGCAAGCCCTTGCCCTAAAATGGCTAAGTCTGGCAATGAACGGAGCATCACTCCAGTCAGTCTTAACAAGCCCACCTCTAGTTGCCCAGTCATCTGCATTCCACAGACTGGTATAGACCTTCATTCCTTGCTTGTTTGGATAAGCAATGCCTTCTTTTTCGTAGTTTCGGAAAACTCGAAGTGGAAGCCCATCAACGTACCATCTGAGATAATATATATGTAACACTCATAAAACTTGCAGTTATCAAGGCATGTTTATGTTTATGTTTCTTTGTTTAGGATTCTAGGAACAAAAGTTGACTTACACAATTTCTTTGGGATTCCAATGAATGGTGTAATTATGAAAGTCAGCCGTTGGATCGAACCAGAGGTAAAATTGTTGCTCCCTGTTGCCTATTCCTTGTGTGTATAGGTTGGTGTGGACAATGTATGGTTGTCCTGAAACGTTGCCTAAGAACTCAAAATCTATCTCGTCATGCTGGCTTCCCGTGGAGGATAGCTACACACGTTTTGGATAGTTATATATGTATCAGATTAACACTTCACACACACACACACACATATATATACGGGTAAGATCGATCCATAAAGATACAAGAGAAATCATGTATAAATATATATAATGACACCTTTTGGGTCTAAGTGAACTTACATAATAGGCTGTAACTGTTCCAGCGGAGTTACCAGGTATCAGCTTGATCAGCATTTCAATGCTTCCAAATAAAAATGCTTTCTTTGTTTGAGCAGCAGATCCTGAAAGCAGAAGGAAATACCAGAAATATGTATATTCTTGTTGAATCACACTAGCTAGTACTTATATAATAAGCTGAGAACTGATTATTTTTTGTGCTATATCTCTTTTGGACCTGAAGTTTGATCCAGAACAAGCTGAAGATCTTCACCGTTGCCCTGAATCGCTGTGTGTTGAAGACCCCAGGTGATGTACATGCTCTTGGAGAACTTGGCGTCCACTGGAGCCAACAATAAGTTGAATAATAGCGCAACTGCAAATATGAACGAAGCTAAAAATATTTCATTGAATTTTGCCATATTTCTGTGGATTATACAACAAACTTGAATGCTATGGATTGGGTTGTGAGCAACTTCATATATATAAGTAGGTTACAAGCATACAAGGGGCCTGATAATAATTTCGTATAAGATTATTGGATTTCCGTATGCATTGACCTCTTCATAGGATTTGACATTGGGACATTGATTGTTTCTGAATGAAGAGGAGCCTATGGAATTAATGGCAGGAATCATAAATGAGTTAGGCTCCTGGTTGTGATACCCACTACTTAGTTTTGAAATTTGATTCATTTATCTTTCTCCGCTTTCCTTTTAAGAAAACAATCATTTATTATCATATTACTCCCTCCACCCCTAAATATAAAACCTAATCAATGAGGGGTAATTCAAGTGGAGATATAGAAAATTGGCTGAATCTGTTATTTGCCATTATTAAGAGTAATTACATTGTGTTGTCCCTTTTCTCTAAAACACCCCTCTTTTAATTAAGATACTAAATGTGAGGGACAAAGAAGATGAGAAAAATTATGAAATTAATGAGGACAACATTGGGAAAAAAAAATACTAAATAAGAGAGGCAAAATGAATAATCTCATATATATATTTATTTAATTAGGACCTGGAGTATATATAACATAAGTAAATACTAATAACAAGTGTTGCAAAATATATATTCAAATGGAAATGAGGTAGCTGGAACGCGGAATTAATGTCGTGCAAACGACTATTGTAACGGTGCTATGCAGCACTTTGAGAAATAAATACGAAAGTGATGACGTAAGGGAATTAGAATTTTGGAGAACATGCGCGCGCGTGTAAAAGTCGCGTGAGCGCATGGCATTCAGATTTTATTTTCATTCATATAAAGTGGGACTCTATGATATTCAATTCAGAATGAGAATGAAGGATCGAGGTAGAGAAAAGGCAATGAACATGCCGAAATTTTCATTTATCAATATTTATCCATCACTTTAACACGTTTTCCCTGAGAAATAAGTTGTATATTGCATGAAACCAAAAAAAAGGATAAATAATAACTAATAAACGAGACAGTTTCACAAAAAATTTATATTAATTGATATATGTTAATATTTATGTGCCTCAACTGTTATAGATAAAAAACTACTCAAATTTTGGCATCACAATTATTGTACTACCTCCCATGATAATATTAAATAAACTAGAGTTTTGCATATTACAAAAACTTAGCTTGGAAATAAAATGCTGGAAAAAAAACTGCGGGGGGGGGAGACTTTAGCATAATAGCTACTAAAGGCCATGCAGTTAGGGAGAACAGTCCTGCCGCATTATGCTGGTCGAGGTGGGAGGATTCACTGGGACATGGATGAAGTTTTTGTCAACACAAGTGACTGTTAATGATGTTCTTGATGTTACTTCAAGGAGGTCAGAATTATGGATCCAAAATGAAGAGGCTTTGAAATATTGACCAATAAAAGAGTTGCCAACTACTCCAGAATGATTCTTCAACCAAAAAAAAAAAAACCCTTCAAGGGCAAACCATGCACGATGGCAGATGATGCCAAGAAGAGGGTCCACAAGACAACTTCTGCTATTATCTCGAATTGGCTCCATGAAAGCTGAGGCTGAGAAAGAATGAAGACTGAAAACCGCTTTGATTGTAACTAATGGAGGATAACATTTACCGTCATGCAAAGCCAGATTTCTTTTCTTCCATATGATGTTGAGGAGACAAATGATTCCACGTTTAGAAGCTGTGGTAAAAGAAACTTTCGTTACACACATAGTATCTGATTACGTTGGTACGAAAAAAAGCGGAGTCTTAAACCACGGTTAAAAAAAATGTAAATGAAGATTCCTTTTCAAACATTTCGGTTGCATCATTACAAGTCATTACATGTCACACACACACGGGATTGTGCATTCATATATATAGATGTTTTGCTGTGTGAGGGGTGAAATATGTATATGCCATACTACCTACGGTCCTTAATACATAGAAGTTAGTTTGAAATTCAATTTGATCCTAAATATAATATTCTAATCGATTTTATCCTTCATATTTATCTTTTTTTTTAAAGTAGTTATGATAGTAGTTCTATATACTATTAAAAGTTTCATCAAATAGTAGTTCTAGCTAATATACATTATTAGTAAGAGTATTTTATAAAAGATGACATATATTTATTATAAATAACTAACTTAACTAATTTTTTTGATTTACTCAAATTATTTTCAACTAGCTTTTATTTTAAAAACTGGAATTAGCATAATATTATGAAAACTATATATTTAAATTAAAAATTTCGAACCAACTGTTATTAGATGAATGGAAGGCACTCGTTTCCCTTAAATGAGCTTAAAGTTTCGAAAGTAGTATATATAAGATGATTATATAAAAAAAATTAAATATTGGTATAAATGAACACACTATGTACATTATGCATGCATTTTCCATATAAATTTTTTTAAAAAAAAAACACTAATGTCCTTCCCCTGAAATTATCTACAAAGTGAGTGGGTATAATAAAAAATTAAACTAGTACTTTAGTCGAGAGTCTCAGAGTAAAACATTCTCATCATAGTAATTGATACGTAATTCATTCGTGTTGGCAATAAAAAAAGGCTTTATACTTCATGATATTCTGAGAAGGCACTTGTACGTCGTAATTCCTGAATGGTCAAAGTCACAGAAACAATAATATTTATCTAGAACAGAATTGAGCCCTACCTTAATTAGAACAACAATAAGAAGAAGGTATGTCACCAAAGTAATTAAACTTTGTTCTCAGCTCCCGATTTGCACCCATATTCCCTTGCTAGGCACCCCACCGTGCACAACACACAGTAAGTAGTACCCCGGCGGAGTAATCTCACCCGACGCCGGAGCCATGGAGGCTATCTTGTATATCCCTCCGAGTTCGGAGGTGAGAGTCGCCGGCGGCAGCACCACTTGTCTCTGATTCATAGAGTACCCATGAGTTGTGAAAGGCGGCGCATACATCATCACCTTGATATCACTCTTCGTGAAAGTCGCGGTTCGATCGTTCACCGTGAACCTAGTCTCAAAGGTTTGCTTGTACCTCAACAGCTTGTCCGACGTTCTCTCGTCGATCACCGGCCGGAACCCATCGAGAGCCGGATCGAGATAAGGAGGGGAGAAGTTCTCCACTCTGGTCTCGGTTGGGTATTTATCAACGTCCCTGTAAGTGTCGTGAGTGTTGCTTCCACTCACCCAGATTTTGCCATTAGGAAGCACAGCGGAAGTTGAGTGATACATTCTGGCGATGGAGGTGGCGGCCAAAACCTTAAATCTCTCACCCTTAGGCTTGTCGGGCCTGTAAAGCACCGGCGTGAAATTGGGAACCTCGGCGTCCCACCATGCCGATGTGCCATTCTGAGCACCGTTGATGAACAAGAGCTGTCCGTTGGGTAGATTCAAGAGGTCACCCATGGTTCTTCTTGAAGGCATCATTTCAGAATCCCACGCGGGGACACGATCTGTGATGACCATTCTGTTGCAGTCTTGGAGAGCTGGGAGGTATTGCTTGAGCGTCTCCGCGATGTGGAAGGCGTCCGGGGTATTGCCACCGCAGACCATGACCTCGGCGGTGTCGGCTTTGCCGTCGGCATCGAGCTTGATGGGAAGGAGGGCGGACATGCCGGAGGCGGGGTAGTTGCGGGAGCCGCCGGGGAGGACGGGATAGGTGCGAACAATCTTGTTGTTCTTAGGATTTAGAAGGAGTGAGCGATTGTTGGAGAAGATGAAGACGTTGCCATCGACGGAAAGGTGGACGAATGGGTAGAGATTATTCTCTTCCAGATCGGAGGTCTCGTAGAGGAACGCAAAGAAGTGAAGGTTGTCGCTTCTTTGGCCTTCTAGTGGAATGTACTCGTAGCTGAAAGCTCTGCGTCCTCCAACCAAGATGAACCCTCCATCTGCAAGCTTTGCTTGAGTCGCATACCTATCACCAGAAATATGCTTAATTCCTTCTTGAATCTGCATTATTCTATATATGAACACAGATACAAGAAATAATGAAGAAGAATAAGGGAGTGGATATACCATCTATCTTCTCTGAATGTATTAGGGTAGTCTCTCCACTGACAATCTGGGCAGCCAGAAAGGAATCTCAAAGATCTAGTTCCGCTCAAAAAGCCACCAGTACTGACGAGGGTACCATCATTGGCAAGCCCTCCTGATGAACACCACGGATCTGTCTCTATCTGTATGTATATATATACACACACATGTTCATACTTAAAATGAGCATGCGAATTCATGTAATTATAAGGATTATTACGGAGACGCAAACCTTGATGGGCCTGAGAACTTGGTTAGTTTCAATATCATATTCGACGACGTGAGCCCAACAATCCTCCTTCGTTACATTTTCGCGATCAAGATACGTAATACATTCGCCTGGTCGTGCTCTGATCCTGGAAATGCGGAAAATGATGGTATCATAAAGGATGATCTTGTTATTGGGCGTTAGCTGCACGTGCATGGCCGACACCCCAGTGTCTACATTCAACAATTCCCACGTCCCTAAAGAAGCTGTCTCAAAATCAGGTTTCGCAGGCACGTCGTCCTGGTTCGAATCTTTTCCATCAGACAAAGGATCAGTGGGTTTGTTTACGGGGGGACTGCCAGGATCCGAAAAAGGATTAAGGAGAAAACCCAAGGGACCTTTATCACTAGGATCAGGATCATCAGGTGGTGGAGACGAAGAACCTTTATGAGGATCCAAAGGATTAAGGAGAAGACCCAAGGGACCTTTGTCACCAGAATCATCATCATCAAGTGGCGGAGACGAAGAACCTTTATGAGGATCTAAAGGATTGAGGGGCTTGAGGAAGTCAAGGAGATCTTCGGCGAGATGATGATCGTCGTGGTGATGTTTGTGATGAGTGGCATCTGCTGCGGCAAGGAACAAGCGAAGAAGGATCAAAACGATGACCTTCTGCAGGACTGCCATGTTTGTTTAATGGAACAGTGGACACTAATGTCCCCGGACACAGAATGTCCCGGTAACGAAAGCGTCAGATTGCAGGTTGGTGCTAACACGTTAATAAAAGCTTCATTCCTAGGATTCGCAAGGTATTGCCAACATTAGTAAGTGGTTTAAAACTTGGCCTTGTTTAGAGGAGGAGAAAGCGCTGCTAATTGAACACGCTTATATATATGTTTATGGTCTAGGCAAACGACAGAGTCATGGACTAAGACTTTCAGGTCACTTTTGGAGACTCCCCAAAAAAAAAAAAAAAAAGAAACCATGCATATGATGCATCCTGGTGCGAGGTGCTAATGCCTTCTACAGGGATAAATACTAAAAAATTTCAGTAAGAAACACAGAATTAGCGTAACAAAGTCTTTTTAAATTAGGCTTTAAAGTATTTATGTCTTTTGATTTTCTCCAAACTAATTTGCTTGACTTATAAATTGATATATAATCTAATAATGATACACGTAAATATTTTAAACAGGGAGGATTCCCTATTCATCAAGAAGTTTAGTTTTCTCAGTAATAAGATAGCAATGGGATAAGGCATAGGTATGGAATTGGCTCACACACACTATAATTAAGTAATTTAATAATTTTTTTATTTTTTCAATTAATTAATTAGATTTTATATTAAGAATCAAAGATAGTATATCATAGTTGAGCTGGTAAAAATTATTCTAGTTGTGTGAATTACAATTGTGGGAGTTCATTTTTGGTTGTTAATCATGCCAGCTTAGAACCAAAACTAGCCCAATGCTCATTTAAATTGAGGAGGAACCATAATTTGTATCTTTCACTGTTTATTAATTTCGTCTTCTTCTTTCATTTATGTCCTTAATCCGTTATAGTCCGACAGCTATAATGGGTCTATTACAGGAGGTTTGATATTAATGAGACCATCCAGGCCCATTGTTGTGGGCATGTGGCCCGACTATATCTGTGCCATTGCCATCTGTTATTTAACCGACGAATCTCTAATTTGTTTTCGAATCAGGAGACCCACTTGACACATCATTAGTTAGTATGGCACAGGCTGTTCACTAATTAAAAATTGCCTTGAACCCTTAGGTCCTGTTTAGTACAAAACATTAAAAATAAAGGATTGAGATTTGGATTGTAATTGAAAAAAAATTATGAAAATAGTATTTAACATAAGTAATTGCTTGTTATATGAGATTAAACAAACCCATAGAGATGGGATTGGGGAACACCACTTTCCCCTGTGGTATTCTCTAATCCCGCATACATGGGTTTGGCTAATCCCATATAACAAACAATCTCTTATATTAAACACTCTTTTAATTGATTTTTTTAATTGCAATTACAATCCAAATCTCTCATTTTTAATGTTTTCTACCAAATGCAGCCTTCAGGTGATTTTAAGTGAAAATAAGGAGAAAAATAGATAGAGAATGATGGGCTCTACTTCTGACTACATGATTTTTCACAAAAATGAAATCCAACTTCTTTTTAATCTCTATTATTTTTCTTCCCATCACTTCATCTAATGCGTCAAAATCTATTGAATAAAGCCATATACCTATATTCACCTTCCCTGGTGAAAAAAATTATATATATATATATATATATATTCACCTCACTCTATATCAATTGTGTCTATTTCTGTATGCATTAGCTTCATGCATGCAGCGTGCTAGGCGAAGGTATATTTCTATTAGAAATGATTATATTCAAGACACTGACGAACACTAATTGCAACCACTATCCCAGCAAAAATTTAACAACCCTTTCATTAAAGTCAATTAAAAGAGTAGTGGGAAGAAGCTGGGGAGAGGAACATCAATTAAACCCAAATCTAAATAGCTAAATTGTGCATGTTTGTTTTGGGCATTTTACATCCCAAAGGTCTTTTAAACACAAAGCATTGATTCTAACATAATTCTGAGGGATTAAAATTAAATAATTTAAAGTGTAAGGAGATAAGATGGTACTACCTCCAGTCTTTAATATAAGACTTTATTTGACTTTTATTTTGGTCCTAATTATAAGACCCTAATCCACTTTGTTTCTCATATTTTTATATTTTTTTTAAGATAGTCCTTCTAATAATGATAATTCTAGCCAATACACTTCATTAGCAAAAATATTTTAGGAAAGACAACACCTATTTATTACAAATAACTAACTTAACTGATTTCTTTAATCTCTTCAAATTAGTCAACTAGCTCTTATAATTAAGACTGGAGGCAGTATATCTTAACTCAAAATTATAAAATTTTTTATTCCCGATCCTGTGAGTTTCTTGAGCGATGACTCATTGGTCATCATTTAAACCCCACCCCGGGAAAAAAGAAACAAACAGAAAAAGTAAGCTTTCTTATATGTTTAACCACAGTATATATAATATAATTACCATTATACGCGTGTAAATAATAATTGTGTAATTTGAATGATAGCTAAAGGATTTTGACCCACATATATTTCCAGGCTTCCAGCATGTTAAACGAGATCAGGTAAAGGGAAGATTACAAATAACAGCGCGGCTTCATTATATCTATCTGGAGGATTCTTTCAAATATTGGGGAAGTTATATTATACTATCTCCATTCTTAATATGAAATCTACTTTACTAATTTAAAAAGATTTAAAAAGTTAAATAGATTAAATTACTTTGAAGTATTATCTTCATTTTTTTAAAATTAATTTTTCTGACTTATAAATTGATATATAACCTGATAATGCACATAAATATTTTAGAGGACATATTTTATAATTAGTTTTTGTTGGCTTCATTAGTTTCTCAAATCAGTCAACCAAATCTTATATTAAAAAAAGCCAAGGCAGTATTTAAATAAAAATAATGAATGGAAGATAGAGGAGGAAGGCATTATTATGACTATTAATCTCATCCATGTTGGAGCTTTATGTTAAGTGCTAAATTGTGAGGATTATTATTCTTTTCACCGATTGACACAAACATACAGCTGTTTTCCCATCATTTGCGTCTGGAAAATTTGATTAAGAGATAGAGAATACAGATATAGTACAAACAAATTGCCCCAATAAAAGCCAAAGCTTTGAGTGGGTATTACTATTAATGATTATTATGCATTCAGCAAAATGATAAACATCAAAGACTCCTGCAAATTCCAGCTCTGACAAAGACAATTGCCACCCACCTAAAAAGAAATTCGTTTCTTTCGGACCAAAAAAGAAATTCGCTTCTTTCCTTAATTCGCTGATTTCTCTGTTTCCCAAATTTGTCCATTGAATTTTTGTGCAACCCACATGTTTAACAATCAAAGCTAGCTCCACTACTTTACTAATGACTCCAAGAGCCAGCAAATAAAGACATTAAGGAAAAAAAAGAGCTATACAGTATTTATTCCAAGAGGCAGCCAAAAAACATATCATTATCTTACTGCTAAGTATAAAAATTAAAATGATTTCATCTATAGAATTTATTAAAATAAAGGTAACAATCTTCCCCCCGACGAAAGCAAAAGGGACTGACCGACAAGTTTCCATAGTTGACAGAATAATTACACCAATGTTAAATTTAATGAATGATTAAATCAAATTAATATGGGACAACTAGTGATCCAATATTTTGAATGCAATTTAGTCAAAATTAAATTATTATTCTTATGAATATGTGTTCTTTTCTATAGAACGTTTCATTCTATACAATTTGCCTAAAACCTGTATTTTTTTTTGGCACGTCATACTTATCCATATGGACTAAACCATGAATATTTGTTGTTAGATACAATTTTTTTTTTTTCATAACAGTACGTCAAAATCTTGATTTGGGAAAAGGAGCTAAAGTAATTTTTTTACAATTAAACTACGTTTCGAAATAAAGTTAGCACCATCATTTAGTGCTCATCGCTGGTTACCACCATAGTATAATCTAAACCATTCAAAATTTAGTACGAATAATTTAGATTTAAAATTTTTAATATACAATTTTTTTATAAAAAAAGTGTTAGTTATATATTTTTATTTTGATTTTGTATCTATTAAACTAAAAAATAATTAAAATATATAATATTCAATTTAGATCATTCAATATCAATCTGCATGTTTCAAATTAAGATAAACATTCTATGCTTATTATTATGATGGGCGGGAAGAAAGTTACTTGTCAACGCGTACATTATTCATTTACTATTTATCTCGATCAAGTGGTATGATTTGACTGGCTTCTGCTTCTTTTGGTTAAGATGGATTCTTTAGCTTGCAAATACTTTAGCCATATATAGCCGAAGTATAGTTTGGTAATTTAACTTTTTACAATGTTTTAATTTAATTGATTTGTTAATTTTAAACAGTATATTTTTGGTTCTTTAATCATACAATTGTTAGGTTTAAATGATGATTTTTATGAAAATCATGATTATTTTAAAAATTAAGCTTAATATGCTACTATTATTTGAGAATGTTTTACCAATATTTAATATCTCAATACGATTATTTTTTATTAACAATTTTATGGTTAAGAAACTAAAAGTATACCTTTTAAAATTTAAAAACCAAATTAAAATCTTATATAAAATTAAAGAACTAAATATATATTTTAGTCCCATACACACATATATATTCTCCATCCATTTAAAAACTACAAGGCTTAATTTTTGAGGTATCATGTTAAAATTTATAAGGCATTTTTAATCTTTATTCAAAGTGAAATTAATAACTTTTTTAGTTTTTTTTTCTAATGAAAAATATTTATAACTTAAAATACCATGAGTTAACTAATTTATTAAAAGGTGTAAATTAGTTAAAAGTGATTTATATATAATTTTGAACTAAGAGAATATATTCTACGTAGCATTACTAACACCAGTACACCACCAATTATATATTTAGTGGGCTGATTGTCTTAATTTGGGCGATCGAGTCAGTAATTAACAAGCGATCATGTGTGAAACGAAAATTGTCATTTGCCATACTTCCTGGGATATCAGAATCTCAATCTCGTAACTAAAGACTTCTTTTGGCGATTGATTTGTCAAAGAGTTTCTTGCTATATTCATGGGATTTGACAGATGGATGGACCTCTGTCCCTATAAAGTAGGTTGATGAACCTTGATCCTTTTCGTTTCGGTTATATATTTACCCAACAATCATGTACATATGATATATATATATATATATATATATTTATTTGATGTAAATTTCGTATTAAGGTACATTAATTGGAGACACTCTCACAAGCATTCAGTATTATTTCATCTGCTAATTAAATTGCTTTAATTTTCTATCTAATTGTGGTCCCTTCGTTCCCAAGGAAGAAAAAAAGTCAGTCCCTGATTAGCTTCGACAATGAAAGTAGTAGTAGCAATTAGCAAATACTTCAGGCCAAAAAAAAAAAAAAGCAATTAGCAAATACTACCTCTGGTCCTTAATATAAGAATTAGTTGATTAATTTGAATAAATTAAAAAATTAATTTAGTTAGTTATTTGTAATAAATATGTATGTCTATTCTAAAATATCTTACTAATTAAATATATTGGCTAGAACTACCATCATTACAAATACTACCTTAAAAAATAGATAAATACGAGAGACAAAATAAATAAAGGTCTTCTATTTATGATAAAAATAAAAGTTAACCAAACTCTTATATTAAGAAGAGGAAGTAACATGACATATGGCTTGTTCTCTAACCCCCCTTTTTTTTTTTTAATAGAAAGTCGACCTAAACAAGAGCATGATTATGCAAGTTGTATGAGCTGCTGTCGAAGCAACCATCTCAGGCCCAAGGTAAACATCTCATTACCTTGCTGTCTCAGTTCATAAATATAAGATTTGATTAACTAATATGAAAATTGAAAAAATTAACTTAGTTTGTTGTTTGTAATTATTATACAAAAATTTATGTATTACCTTTTCTAAGATACCACTATTTTAACGATGAACATATCAGAAGTGACTATGCGAGAAAAACAAAGAGTAAAAAGAATTGTAAAATCAATTAGGACCATATGACAAAAAAAATATTAAGTGAGGGTAGCTAAAGTAAATCAATAATATTTAGGATCAAATCACATTCATCAATAATTAAGTCCTATATTTAAGACGAGAAAAAGAGCATGGATACCACTACAATAATAATAAAGCATGTAAGAGTAGGTTTATTTTCTCGGAGCAGTCAATTGCAACGCTGATGTGAACTTCAACCCACGAATCTTACATATATAAACTTGATGACACCGTAGAAATGATCATCAGAGACATGCATGTGAGAAAATTGTATCCAATATAACATTCTGGCATTTCTGTCGGGAGATCTTTTGTTTCTTTTGGTGCTAGTAGGCAATATCAGTTCCTTAATAGGGGCTCAATAAGTTCCTCTACACCTCAACTAGATAAAACTACTGAATGATGAAGACTACTATACATATATATAGCCAGATGCTGGGTGCTAATTTAATTTAGGTGAGATACTGCAACAAGGACAGCTAGTTAGAGAAAACAATTTCTTCTCATTTCTTTGAGAATTTATGTAATTAAAGAAGAAAATGGTGATTTGTCTTTGCAAACTGGGCCATTCTAATCTTGCATTACACATGGCTATCTTCAAATTGAAACTTTTCAAGATAGCAACTAATCATCAAATTGCAAATGAAAGCATTACATTTTTGAGAGCTGCTGATGGCTAAAGAGATAATCTGAGTTCCAAATCTGGTTCTTGAGGGTCACTTGATTCAGAATTCTGACTGCTCGAGCCAAAGGATCCACTCCTATGCTGTTGGCTATCTATGTGCAGGTGTGAGTGATCCTGATTAATCATGGAAAGAAACAAGTAGAAGACCTTATTAGTTTGAATCAGATACAAACTGTTAAGTATTGATCAGTATGAAGAGGGGGGCAAAAGGAAAATCTCCTTACGTAAAGATTTAGAAACGGTCTTGTGACGTTGGGTTGAGCAGAAGATTGTGTATGCAAGACGGAATTGGAATTGTCCCATCTGGTTTTAGATAAAGAAGTTCACACATATATATCAGCCATAAATTCATCGAACAGTACTACATATATAGTCTGAGTTCATCAGGCAGATTAAAGTACCTTGCTGCATTAGGTGGCTGAGAACTTCCATATCTGATGTTTGTTCTTTCGTATTCGGGTAGGCCCATCTGCGCTTGCAAACAATTATTACTTCAAAATCCAGTATTTTCCAAAACTCACTCTTTTCATGTACATGTGTAACTTTAACAACGGACATATCAAGAAAAAACAGTGAGGACTATTATGTGCAAATTAGGTGAAGGTGATGGTGAAAGATGATGCGAAAGAGGGTCTTGACTTGGCATCAGGACACAGATTCATTCCTCAATACGTATAGCGTTGTGTCTTCACTCGCTCAAAATACTAATAAAATACTCTTTCATCTTCAACACAATATTAAGCTGAGTTGGTTCAAATCTGCTAAGAAGATTCCGGCTCTAAAAAAAATCTGACAAAAAGATTTGCTAGGGTTGCCCCATGAACTTTCCGATTAAAAAAACAAGTTGGTCATATATACTAAAGATTACCCATGATTCCTTTGTCGTACAAACAGCTATCTTGCACGCATAGACAGATTTTGCAGCATAGTTAAAGAAGGGTCACAAACAATTACAGTGAAATATCGTACAGCTGTACCAAGTTAAAGTGTGCAGAAATGAAACTGATTGAGACTTGATACGATGAAAATAGATCAATTACACATATACCTGCGCAATGTTGGGATGGAAGCAGTAAGAAGGTGAGTAGGAGGAGGATGACGGAGAATAAGAAAAAGACGATGATGGTACTGATGAATAAGCGGATTGAGCTCTTGGATCTTCCTGCTGCATGTTCATGAGCGCCAAAAACTCCATTAATAACCAAAAATAATTTCTCCTAAAAAAAGGAGAGAATTGGGAGATAGAAATATATAGGGTTACAGTTTTACGTTGTTGAAATTAGAAGGATAAGGGACGTGAAGAGGGGGAGGAGGAGGATATCCACAATCTATTTGGCCATGTAATCTGATCTTCTCTAACTGAGCAACTCCAAGACCTCTCTGGGGTTGTTTAGGCTTGTCCGAATTGTTCTTCTTTCCTTTCCTTGATGATGAAGAAGACGAAGCAGAAGATCCACTTGCTCTCTCAGTACTTCCCAAGTTTAGCTCTCCAAAATAACCGCTTCCCATCCTCTCTCTTTCTTTTCTTCTCTGATGTGTGTCTGTGTGAGGAAAAATAAAACACCAAACAAAGAGACACAGGGGGGGGGAGGGATAGAGGCTTTTAATTTCCGGGTTTTGAAAATCCCCGGAACTTCGAGTTGCAGAAAGCTTTGTACAGAGAGAGAGAAGAGAGATGGTAGAGAATCAGAGATTTCCAAAGCTGTTTCTAAGCTATTTTGCTGGAATTATTGCATCGCTGGAGCCGATTGTGCGTAGATTTGAATGTTATATATACCTGGATTTTATGCCCCTTTATCTCTCTCTCCCCCCTTCTGCCTCGACTTTTCTCTCACAACTGAGTAATTTTATTATTCTAATACTAATAATGATGATTACGTTATTAATTAAATTTTCTGCTCGTTTATAAGTTTTTTAAAGCCCTCGGATGGGATGCTATCTCTGAAAGGGATTGTCTCTCTTTTACAATCTTAAATAATTAGTGTTGGTGGACAACAAGTAGCCACGCCCATAAGGTTGGCTAAATGCAAGTGTGAATTTTTTTTATCCCTCTCTCTCTTTTAATTTAATATAAATAGATCACATAATAAATATAAGATGAGCGTAACATCACTAAAAAATTTAGAAAAAACATTCCATGCATTGCACAAGAAGCCAGTAAAATTTATAGTATTACTTTATATATCTTTAATTTTTTTTAAAAATTTCAAATTTTATTGAAAAATTGCACCAAATACTAATATATTTGTGTGTGTGTGTGTGTGTGTGTGTGGGCAAGAAATATATATAATAAAATTTCATAAATCATAAATAGCATGTATAGCCTCAGACTTCGATTTACAAACTAATTATGCTATATATGGGGGGAAAAATATGATAGGACTAGCTGGCAAGTATTGATAGTTAGCTAAAGTGACTAGCCACTTGAGTAATTTTTTTTCTTTGAATATTTATGAGCAATTAATACATTATATATATGATTAAATTAAATTTCGTTTTCATTTTTATCATTTTGATACCTGAGCATGTGGATAACAAGACCCTAAGTGGGTTCCATCAGCACGTGATTCCCTAGTTCTTGGTCAATTTGTCTTGGATGATAATACTCTAAAAAAGTCCCAGCTGTAAAATTTAATCCATAATCAAGCAGCTCATCAACAAAGCAAAGTAAATATATAGTCATAACATAAAATATTATTAATTAAGAGCAAATCGCGTTTGAGTTACACATCCCAAAATCAATTATAGAGTTTCAAAATGTATACGATTTAGGCGGAGAGAGCAATATTATATATATATATATATATATAGCATTCAAAAATTTAAGTTGAAAGATGTTGTAAAAGTAATTAAAAATGGTATAAATTTGCTTAATTAAGAAGGATAAATATATAATATGTATATATATTCGATGGTTAAATGTCATAGAATAATTGAATTAATGATAGTAATGGGGGGTATAATTATTGTTAAATGGTAACGAGTCCAAATCTAATTTGTATCAGAATCACTCACGATTTGTGGGTCATATTTTATGAGTTGTTTATGTGGTGGAAAGTGAGAATCCTTCAATTTGTTAACCAGACATGTGAACCCATGCAATTACAAGAAACCCCACTCATTAATTTAAATAAATCTGTGTCACTTGTTGCTTCACCACAGGACGCACACACTGTGTGTGTATATATGTAAGTTAGATCTCGAAGACTTATCAGAAAAATTAAAGCATGTTTTTGGTTTCAAAACATATTTAAAAATTACTCTCCAACAAAGTCTTAATAGTAGGATTTGAAGTCATTGTCCTGTGAGTCATAAATAATTTGAGGCATGTAATTATAGATATTAATATTGTGAACAGAAATATAATATTATATATTTTATTTCACATAATTAATCCGGGATTTGCCTCCTTTTCATTCTCTTCCTCAGCTCCTATTCCTCCCTCTTACTTTGCCCGTGGTGCTTCTGTTTTTCCTCCTTAAGTGATCAACACTGATAAAAAAAAAAAAAGAGTATAAATATAAAAATACACTACTTCTAGCTTCTTTGTATCATATTTTTTTGGGAGAAAAAGTATACAAAAGATCCGATATTTATGTTTTTTTATGTTCCTCTTATATAAGAACGCTTTATTTATAATTAGTATAGATTTGAGTCCTCTCACCCCTGAATAATGAAAAGCTTTGCCAGCATAAGACTTGAATATAAAAGCTTGCTTAAGAGATATCAATGTACTTTTCACTTGACTCAACTATTATTAACTTTATTTCCCCTCGTCCCTTTTCCTTTCTACACCCTTTGAACTCTCACATGCTTTATTTGGACGAATATATGAAAATGACAGAAAATAAAATAAGAGGAAGAAAATAGAGAGAAGATCTGAACGGCAAAGTAAATTTTATTTATCCACTCATGCTTCAATAAATAGGTAAAAAAAACAAAGGAAAAATGATTACTTTCATATAATGACAACAGTATGAGTATCCATAATGTTTTTCTTCTTTTCTGAACAATTTTGAAAAGCATCTTTTCTCTCTAAAATTTCTCTACTTTTTTTGAGATTGAAAACTTGCCTTTTCTTCTTCACTTTTCCATTGTTTTCAAAAAATTTCTCTTGATACCCCAAACAGAAAAAAAATATTATATTGTCAATATATTCCCCCCCCCCAAAAAAAAAGAAAAAATTTATCTTCTAGTTCTCTTTTCTTTCTCAACTCAAATAACGTCGGGTTAGGGTTATGTTGCTGATCTAAAAGCACCACTTACAATTATGGCTGCCTCCACTTCTGCATCCACTTTGAGCTAATCAGTGATAACAATTATAATAATAATAAAAATAAATATATCCATATGGAGTGATATGAATGACATCCATAAAGAAAATTATCTCTCTCTCTCTCGATTTTAATACAAACAAAAGGAGCAAAGTCAACAATGAGCAATATTTTTTTCCTTATTTGTCAAAGTTACGAGTTAAAATATATCTTTTTATGTCTCATCAATCCAATTTAAAATAAAATGGGGGGCAATTCTAAACCTAGAACAGGGAAAAGAATAATAATAACAGTGAAATGTGGTAGTTATAAGCTGGAGCACTAAAACAAGACTACCAATTCAGCCAAAAAGATGTGTGTGTGTGAACACACGTAATTAAAAAATTAACAAGAATCGAATTCTGAAATAAAATGTTGGAAGCTATTATTTTATTTATAAAGTCATATTCTTTCTTTGTCATCCTTTCTATAGGGTTAGGCAGGTGGCTATATGGTTGATCAGAGAAGCTTATCGCATTACGAGTCGTCTCTATTGGGCATGATGTAAAGCTATGAAATAATTCGCACTACATTATTATTTGATTATTAATAATTATTATTAATTAACCTAATAAAACATATTTAATGTACAATCGTGAAACAGGTGATTGCAATATACAAATACACAAGATTCTCGTAAAACCAAATTATCTGCTGTGTTCGTTGGTTGGGTTTTATACTTTCGAGGACTAATAGAATCTCGCCACATATGTATCTAGTCATGTTCCGAACGTTATGCACTCACCTAATGATATATTACTATTATTTTTTTAGTGTTACAACAATGACTAAGTTTTTTTTATTTATTTATAAATATAGTCGCCTTTGACCTGTTTACGCAATGCAAAACTTTAATTAATAATTTAGGTTTTTGAATGCATCAGTGATGTTGTGCAATTTTGTGGAATTCCCATACATGAGACACTTGAATTATATAAATTTTAATTTGCACCTTCACACACACGCGCGCTTTTCTTGTGGTGTATTATTGAAATTGTTTAAATGGACTTTTAAAAAAGGAATTAGTTAAATGGACCAACGAACAAGAACAAGTATAAACAATAATCAGCTTTGATTTTGTTTAGAATTCGATGTCTTTCTTTCGAAGAGCTGCCTGTTGGTTAGACATGGTGCAGTTTTGTGTAATTTTGCAGGAGCGAGATTTTAATTAAAACTTTGCAACCGACATATATTCAAAATAGAGTTTATAAATTAACATTATTTTGGTCCTAACAGATCAGATATCATTATTCTCCTTCTCACTATGTACACATAAATAAAAAAGTTATCATAATATTCGAAACATTTCCTTTTGATGATTACAGAGAGAAGGACACTTGGAGCCTATTTGGTTAAGCGGTGGGATCTCAAATAAGTCCGTTTAAATTCAAATAAGTGCTTATGAAACATGTTTAGGGTGTTTGGATAATTTTTATAAAATCCCGATGAATCGTGATTTTAACCTTCTACCGCACTTTTAGGATAAGCAACAAGAAGTAGTTTATACATTTGAAAAATCCCGATGAATCTTAAGTAACTAAATTTTCTCCAATCTACCCCTCATTCTAATGGTAATTATTTTAATTTTTTTAAAAACATACAATATGAAACTGTTTTTCTTTTAGTTTATCTAAAAGACATTTTTTAAAAAGTAAGATAACAGATGACATATGATTGAAACAACACAATCACCAAGTGCCAACATAGTTTTCTCATCAGAAATGGATCGTCTTCGAGACTCAATTCGAGATCAAATTCTGCAATACAGGGAAAATAATTAGCTATCATTTTTATTAATTAGTTTTGTTGTTTAAATTTTATTTCTTAGTTATAATTTTGATTGAACATTCAATTTCCTTATCTATGTTACTAAAATTGCTAATCAATTTTTTAAAAAAATATTTTCATTCATCTCTTATTTATATGGGATTTTTTATTTAATATTTGTACTACACATAAATTTTGCAAGTGATTTTAAATAATAATAATTTTAAAATAAAAATAATATTTAAATATTCATGTCATTTATTAAATTATATTTAATAAAATTTATTATTAAATATAATAATTATGAAAATGTAAACAACTTCATTAACTTCATGTCCTTTTTAGTAATTATACACCCATAAGTGATTTTAATAAATGAAAACCAAACATAATCACAATTCTTAAAATCACTTATAAAAAAAATATCCAAACAAAATCACAATTAACTAGTGTCACTTATAGCCAGTGTCACTTATAAAATTCATGATTATCTAAAATCACAGTTGTTCACCGCTAATCCAAACGGGCACTTGGAGTGATTATATATACTCATGTTGGAACAAACCACTAAGGTTGGAGTCAAATATAATGTTTGTTTTTCTTTTTTTAGAGAGAGT